AAATAATTTTACCTTTAATACAGATTTTATGAAAAAGCGTGGCGTTTGTTTCCGGAATAAGTTCCTCACTTTTTACTTGCACACTATAGCAGATGCTCCTCGCAAAATCGACCACAAAAGCTGTGCAATTCAGACTTTTACATCTATAATAAACAAATCAAACAGTCTACATATTTTTGCGCAATAATTACATTTAAGATATATAACAATCACACTTCTTGTAAAAAAATTGTAATTAATATTTCTTATTGTAAATATATTGAACCAACGTGCTGTTAATTTTTTCGCATGTAACAAGTATTAACATAATATGTTAATCTATCACAAAACAAGTACGTATGAAAAGTATCTATGTGCATACTTAAAGATTGCAATTAAAGATACATTTACATAGTTCTTGGAATAAGCAATTTAGTTGGCATATGATTAAATTTATAGGAAGGAAAAAAATATCTCAATTGATGAATCACCTATTAAAGCAAGATGCGATGATACCGTTGTTACCTATGGCACCGTTTCTATACAATACAGTCTCTACAGCGTTTGCTGGTTTGGCTCCAGCAATTTTTTCCCATCCCATATCTTGATTCTGACAACTCTGAGACGAACCTGAAGGGCATAGATAAACGCTTTGTAAATGTACGAGCTGCAGTTAAACAGCCTTATTGAGTCATACCTATAAAATATCGCGAACCTCGCGCTAGCGCTGATGCTAGATAAAGAGAACACAACTGCACTTGCAATTCATGAATGCACGATTGTCTAAACATATTTTGCGACTGAAAGTTAATATATCACAAAGCAAAAGAAAAAAAGACCTTTTTCATCAAAATAAAATAATGAGTAAAAGTAATCAAATCGAATAGTACATTAACTTTCGTTTGGTAGACAGACGAAATCAATTAGGGTGTAATAAATACTTTAACTTTTTCGAAAAATGTTAAGTCTGATTAAAAAAAAAAAAAAAAAACGTATTTTCTTAGCGAGAACAATCTATTATTTTTCTTTATTCTACGTTTTATTTTTTAACTATAACTTATTATTGAATATTATTGAAACTAATATTATCAAACTAATATTTGTGGCAATGCATTATTTTTCACAGCGCGTGTATACAATGTTGATTTTTTTACCTGTGTTTGCTGAAACAATGCAGCAAGCAAAAATTATACCGGCGAAACGTAATGTTGTCATCTTGTATCTTTGCATTGCAAAGACGGCGAGGAGGGGGGAGAGGCAAGATTAAATTGCGAGAAATCGTTTTTCAGGAACTTCCTAAATTGCTCTATCTCCTGAACGACATCTCCTGCTTCTAATCACGCCACTGTTGTGTACCTAATGCAAATGTCGTTACATAATCACGTGCTACCATCACGTGTAAAAAGCTGAAATTGGTACGCGTAACATCAGGTCGAGTAAGCTTGCCGTCGAGTCGGAAAAGCGGTCAAACGCAATCATCCGCGTTAGCGGACTTCTTTAACTTCTCCCTCTTAACTTCAAGGTTTTAAAGAGATAATGTTTCTTATAAATAAGTTTTTAAAGTGTCGTTTTTACCTCACGTTTTTCGCTATCTCTCATCGCGACGTAAGCGCACGACATAATTTGCACGATAACAGTTTATAATACAATTTATTTTGTTGAATGTAAATTTCAACGAAGAAGAAATAAATTTAGAAAGTAAATATCGCTATGAATTGCTTACCATCTATCGTCACAAAAATTTATTCTATCAGAAATGGTAGAAATATCCGCGTTTATATTGTACAATAATTTTTTTCTTTTTATAATTATAATTCAACGTTCTCTTGAGAAGAGAACATCTTTTCATTTATAAAGATTTCATTTATAAAGATTGAAAAACTTGATACGGATCATATTATTAAACGCCTTTGTTAAGTAGTCATACATCATTAATGCAATCAAGCGTGTAACGCAACTATTATATTGATGACGGTTTATACTTAAAATAATGATGAAGGATAACGGAAAATAATTAAAAGCAGGGAAGTAGTTGAGCTATTTTTGCATTCATACGTAATTGCATTCAGCTGATAAGTTTAAAACGCAAGTGAAAAAAATTCTTTAAGAGTCTATATCTCGCAATTTTATTTTTATTTAAAAAATAAAATTTATAGAATATTATGAGATATAAATTTTGTATATAAACAAAGTACATACAAAATCCATAATTTGCATCGATTATTTCAAGTATTTCTGTAATAATGTAACATTACATTCTATAAAAATTCCACGAAGAAAAGTTTACAAAATTTACTTTAAATGAAAAACAGTATTCAAGAACCGAATTGTAAAAATATTAGGATACAAGAAACAAGTATATGGACATTCTAAGATTCAATCTTTGAACGAAAGGATCAAACTCGCGCACTTCTTCTCTTCGAGATTTATCTCTTTTAAGAGTAGCGAGATCGAGTCTCCTGCTCTTCGCACTTTGACAGCGTTTACTCGCGCGCTTTTACGCTTTACGCAAACATCTATGCGTCTTAAGCTTTACCTAGCGATCATTCGACCATCGTACTTAACTGAAACGTACATCGCCGATCGGCTTAAAGATTGGTGCACCTCCTCCGCGGCTTCAGCTTCATGCGCTTCTCATCGAGCTGCGCTCGCGATTCACTCTCGATGGACATCCGTCCTTTCGTTTTACCGGCGGAGAGTGAGATCGATGCCGGAATGTATGCCGGCTTATACCGTGCGACTGCGAAGCGGACACGTAACGAAATGAAAAGCAATCGGCGTGTGTCGTACCTCGGCGGCGGATACGACGAGGAAGAGCAGAGGGGCATTCCATCCGCCTCTGTGATACCTGTGTGATCGGAACGATCGGATGCGGCTGGGTAAATACCGGCACCGTCCACCCATTCACCAGCATTGTCGTTTAAAAAAAAAAACGAGAGAGAGAGAGAGAGAGAGAGAGAGAGAGAGAGAGAGAGAGAGAGAGAGAGAAAGAAAAAAAGAACGATGGCGAGGTCGGCAAACGATTATCTGGGATGTTCCGCGCCGTCCAAGTGTGCGATGTTCGCTCAGCGTTGACATAAATTCGGCCTTCGTTGCGACGTTATCGCTGCAAACTTACTCATACTCGAAGCAAAAGACGAGTTTACTATCGACTTCTGGCATTACGTTTAAAGATGTAATATTAAATTGCTCTGGATCTGAGAAACTTGCGAGAAGTTATAAATATAACTCCAGATGCCAGGTTCGAATCAATTTTCATAAAATCTACGTTTAGGAAAGAGGATGATTATGATTATGAAAAAAGATTTATTATTCCAATTGAAGAAATATACGATCTAGAGACTCAAAGCCGGACTTTGTCCGTATTGTTGCAATATTAACAGTTTCCCATGGTAGCCAGAATTGAACGAACATCGGAAGCCTATATCGATGGCAAGCATCAAAAGCTGCGTCCTTCGTTTTATGTAACTACCTGGCATCGTTTACGCTCGTTAGTCAGTGGCACATACATCGATACAATAAGACAGTAGATTTAACAGCATTTCAAAAAATAAGAGACTTCCATAAACGTAACAACGATATGATATAATGAAACATTGTACATATACATTGCTTTCACGAAATTTCGTTATCCGATAATAACACATCCCAATAGGCATATTTCTTTTTAAAGAAAAATAGATTAACGGCTATTACAAAATAGCTCAAATTATTTGGGATATCTCGAAATTCTAAATTGTAATAATTTTAATGTAATTTTAACGAATTATCTAAGAGAAACTGTATTGCAGAAAAAAAAGAAAAAAATTATTGAGTTTGCACAACGTAATTGCATATGGTGTAAAGAAAGAAAATTAAATATTAAATTAATATGTGAAAAATTATATATATTTGATATTGCAAAATAATCATCGATTGATTTTAATTACTTTATTTTTACAATGAATAGTTGTTTACAAGCAAATAAATTCTAAATTAAAAACAGAATTATTAGTATTTTATAAAATAAAATATTATATACAAAATAAAAAATATTTTTATTTCATTGTCATTTCTAAATAAATTCTTTGCTCTTATTGAAGGCATTTTACTTTCATTCTTATCATCCGTTACGTTAGTACTCTTATTACTAAACATAAGAGAAATCTTGTTGATTTTGTCAGTTTAAAAGTACATCAACCTGCGGGTATGATGGTCTTACGTAAATAACGCATTTCTCATAATAAATTGCAAACTGAGTGTAATAAACATTATCCGATATTACATTTTGCGGACTCATGACATTAAAGCTATGAAGAAATAGAGATGTAACTTTCTCTCTATAACTTTTCTCCAAGATATCCAAGTCGTTTCAATAAATGCAAAAAAAATAAAGTTTATATTTTTCTTATTTAGATATTATCTTAATTACTATTATAATATCATATATTATATATACTTCTATATTAATAAAAAATAATTTTTATTTTGTCTCAAAAATTATTTTTTTAATAGGCAATTTTTTATTGCATTCTTCTTTTAATTTTCTTAACTCTATTTTTTATTTTGTGATTATTTTATTTTGTTAACTCTTGTTAAATTTTTAAAATAATTCCTTAAATGTCTTTTTAGAATTTTTAAATGCCCAATGATTCTAAATTATACGATACAATTGCTCTTTCGGTATCACAGCATAATACATAATACAATTCTGCATAATACAATTTGGATTTGAATGGTACGTTCAACAATAAGTGCAATTGATTCGATGTCAATTTGATGTAAATCGATCTCATCGTTTTCCAATGAGCAACGACGATGCCATTGGTATAAATGAAAGTCGTTTTCTCATTACAAATAGAATGTTCTCATTACAAATAAAATGGCATGTAGAATTTTAAACGAGTAAATAACAACAAATTGCATTTAAATGCAAATATATCTTTATTATTCATTCATATTCAAATAAAAGTGTGTGCAAATATTGCGTTAAAGCAAAAGTCTTTTTACAAGTTGGAGCATAATTGAAACATATTTTTTAAATTGTTTACAAACTTTTTATTAAACCAAATATGTGCCGTTTGATCAATAATCTTCTGCCATTTTTCGGATAGAGCCATTATTCCATCGGCGTAGAACTTTTGTGATTTCTTGGTAAAAAAAACCGAGATAAATGATTTTCGCAGCCTTCTTTTGAAGTCAAGTTTATTCCATTAAGAGAGTTCTGCAAAGACCGAAACAAATGGTAATCGGACGGTGTAAAATCAGGATTATACGATGGATGCATCAAAATTTCCCAGCCAAGCCTCTCTCAATTTTTGTCGAGTCATCAAAGATGTGTGTGGCCTAGTGTTGTCATGATAGTGTTATCATGATGGAAGACAACACCTTTTCCATTGATCAATTCTGGTCGCTTTTCCTGAATAGATTGCTCCAATCACATTAATTGTTACCAATTGTTAGAGATCAGAATCAATCGTTTTGCCTGGCGGCAAGAGTTCATAATAAACGACTCCTTTCTAGTCCCACCAGACATACAGCATCAATGGGCTTTGCGATTGTTTGTGGTGCCTCATCTCGTTTCGACGTCGATTTTTTTCGAACATTATTATCATATGTTATCCACTTTTCATCGCCCGTTATCAATCTTTTCAGAAAAGGCTCAATTTCATTTCGTTTCAGCAGCGATTCGCAAATGGAAATTCGATCCATTAAATTTTTTACCATCAAATCATGTGACACCCAAACATCGAGCTTCTTTATGTATCCAGCCTTGCGCAAGTGCCCCAAAACAATTTTATATCAATGTTTAGCTCCTCAGCTATGTCATAGCTGCTCACATAACGATTTTCTTCAATTTTTTTGGAAGATTTCATCGACATTTTCCACAATAGGCCGACCAGAATGATGTGCATCTTTGACATCGAAATTTCCATCTCGAAATCGACGAAACCAATTCGCTGCTGTTTGTCTAATTGGAGCATCCTCTCCATAAATATGACAAATTTTTTTCTGCAGCTTGCGCAGCATTCTTCCCTTTTTTATAATAAAAAAGTAAAATGTGTCGGAAATGTTCCTGATTTTCACTCATTTTCAAATTTAATTGAATGCGTCGGTATCGTTTAAATCTATGATCAATCTATTTCAAAACCGGCGACACATGGTGCTTTTTTGGCTATTGGGTTGCTCACGTGCTCCTGTGCTGGTTATTTTGCTGGTTACTGTGCTGAAAATTGTATAGCCTGCTGGCTACGCTGTTGATTGGTCTACTGGATTTTTATGATAAATCCGGTGCTATTTTTCTTGCGTGATCTTGTGTTGGCTCATTTTGAAAACCAATCAAGAGCAATTTTAGATCATGTAATCAAAATATTCCCTTCGAATATCAGATATTTTATCATTCCTCTGTTTGCTACAATTTGTCAAAACGAAAATAAATTATGACAAAAGGAAAACAATAAATAAATAAAGATGTCAAGTGTCTTCTATAAAATTCTAGCTACTCAGCCAGCACGAAAACATCACGACAGCAAGCATACAAATCCAGCAAGAAATCTAGTAGTCAAAAGAGCATCGTGTGCCGCCGGCTTAACCTAATAATGCTTAACCTAATAATTTCTGTTAGAGTTTAGATGTTTCTCCAATATCTTTTTAATTTTTAATGAATAACAAAGATGAAATGATCTAAGAATGTTGCTAGTGTCAGAAAGAACACATTTATTACACATTTATTACACATTTATTACACATTTATTACACATTTATTACACATTTATTACACATTTATTACAGTTAGAATATCCGCCGCCTTTTGAAAATTTTGACAAAAAAAAATAAAAAAGAAAACTAACTGCGAGCATCTGCGGGGAGAGAGAGCAAATCCTTATCGATATCTGCCTATATTGCATTTGCCTATATTTTTTTCAAGTAAAAAAATAAAATTTATAATTTCTAAAACCCAATATTTTTCCCATTCAAAATTAGGAATATGAAAACATTTTAAGCTTTAAAATATCCAAAAAAAAAAACAATTTATTAACGTAAAAAATTATTGTTTATGTGATAACAGAATTGATAAAAATATCCTCTGAAAACTCTTGAATGCGCTCATGAAATTAACAAATTTTTAATAATGAGACTTCAATTATCCTCGGAAACAACATTTTTATCGCGCGCAGCACGGTCATTCCCGCGAATGACGATTTAATCTAACCTAACCTAACTCATTTTCGTGTGACGTCAATCGGAGCAACGCCAGTTCCCTAGGCACAAAAATTGTATCCGACTTTTGCAATATGTCCACGTAGGATCCGATACGATTTTCTCGTCCCGGAAGGAAAAACCGATACAATGACTTCGTAGCTTTGAGGTGAATATTTTTGTTGATTATTATAATGATCGTAATAGTCTTATGACATTTTGAGCTATTGCAATATCGAGATAATTTCTTCCCAAGCTTCAACCTTCTCGACTACTTTCTCACTTTCCTTACGTCGAAACGAGCGTAACCACGAGGTTTACTGAGTTTATATATCTTCGTTAGCATGACAGGTTTTCGTTTTGAATGTTAAAATTGAACTTATTATTGAATTTAAATTATCGGATTGTAAGCGATTTTTCCATCCTTTTTTAAATTCTCTACAGTATTTTCATTACTTTTCTTATCTCAGATATAGTTATGAAGAAGTTATCGGATTTTGGGAATATTTCTATTATCGTTCCTAGATATAACATTCTTATATTTTAGAGCTTTTGATAATTGACTAATGTGACCATGGCCAGTCCACGGACACGACGAGTGCTAAGTGAATTGAAGCCTAGGGATGAGAACAATGTAAGTTTAATTGAAAATAGAATATAAAGTATATACACATGTATGTGTATGCGCGCGCGCGTG